ATCTGGAGAGTTTATTTTCATGTACATACTGTATATTAATGAGGACTTGTCCTGATTGCATTGGACAAATTACATTCTGCTGTGCGTCCCAATGCAAAAAAATAAATAAATAAATAACTGACTCTTTCACTATTGTTACATTCAACTCCTCTCTTTGAAATGCTTTGTCAGTTCATACAAATACATAGTTATGAAACACCAAGTAAAGTGGTGTACATGAAGTATGTGGGCAGTCTATAGCAAATGAGCTAGATGTGTCAAAGTATTTCCGTCTTTGGAATAATCATACAAAATTGAATGAAATGAAATCCAGTGATCAGTCCAGGAAAAAAAACTAAACATTTTTCAATCAAGTGTAAATGATTGGTTAACAATACAGACTACTATGATTTACACATACGGATTTACACAAACTGTATATCACTGAGGTAAGATAAGAAAACCTTTATTTGTCTCATAATGAAGAAATTCGCATTCTACAGCAGCAAAATTTGGAGGGAAGAAAGTAAAAAAAAAAAAATTTGAGAATTTTTTTTTTTCCCCAAATATTGGAGCTGAGTGCGTCATTTGCGGAATCAAATGTCTACCAATGTTAATTGCCCCGTTTTAGTTGCTTGTTGCTGCAATACAAGAGTAGCTCAAACCTGCCAGCAGTCCAAGCCTGTCTCCCGTTAAAAATGTGTATCGCATGATGAAGGGCAAAATATGGCAACGGGGACCCGGGACTGTTCAGCAACTCAAGTTATACATTGAGAACCAATGCGAAAGAATTGCACCGGCAAAACTTCAGTGAATATTTTGTTCAGATTCCAAACGCTGACCGTAGGTTATTAAAAATAAAAGTAAAGTAACACTGTGGTTAACAAAAGTTGTCTTTCAGGCATCAAAATCAAGATGAGTGAATATTTGCAAAAGAAAAAATAACTCAATCAGTCTGAACAAGAAGTATCCTGTCTTTATAGGGCATTGAATATATTACGCAGTTGGTTGAAAATGATTTGTGCTGAGTGATTTGTAGATTAAAGTCTACCTTGATTTCCCCTCACGGGATTAGTTTTGTTGATCTATCTATTTTGATGATTATTTTAAATAAAATGCCCCCCTTGTGAGGAATAGTGGTTTGGATGATATATATATATATATATATATATATATATATATATATATGCAGTAAACATTCCCATCCCCGGACTCGTGTTTGCGCTGTCCAATTTGTCCTGATAACAGAAATTCCTCATTTGGGAAATGAGCATGGTACATGTGTTAACATTTTGACTATGATATTACGTTATCGGAACTTACGTAAGCGGAAATTCCACTAGCCGTAACCCGGATGGCCGCGGCAGCTTAAATACACGCAACGCCCACCCAATGCGACGGAAAGACACGTTTTCACTTCGCCTTTTTCTATCATCAGATCCGAAACGACGACGTGTAAGTGACTTTTTATTGGCGTGCGTTTTACTCTAATTGCGAAAGATTTTAACTTTATTCACTTATGTCCCGTAGATCGCGGCACTAGCTTAAAAAGCAGCACCCAGTCGACACGACCGAAGAAACATGTTCGCTTCGCCGTTTTCATTCATCAGATTCAAAACGAAGACGTGTAAGTGATTTTTTTATTGCTGTGCGTTTTATTGCAATTGCGAAAGATTTTAACTTTATTCACTTACGTTGTGTAGATCATGGCATCGAAACGTAAAAGAACTGTAATGACTGTAGCGGAGTGAGTGAAATGCATCCATTTGAGCGAGGCTGGACACAAAGTAAAAATTATCCACGAGACACTTGGAGTCGGAAAGACGCAAATTTACAAAACTTTAAAAAACAAGGCATCGATTCAACTCCTGATGACAAGCCACCATCCAGAAAGGAAGCAATGCAAATGGCAACAAAAATCCTTCAGTATGCACAAGAATCACCAGACATCGGTGATCAACGGGACAGTTACTTGCAACTAGCAAGAAAACTGTATGACACACAGGCAAACGTTGTCATAAACCAAAGAATGCATCCAACAAAACAATCCAAAATAGACAACTTTTTTTCCCAAGACAGAAAAAAATAAACATTAAAATACTGTACGTATTGTACTGTTGTGATTTTTTTTGGGATACACCTGTATTGCAGGTTTTGTTCTATAAACAGTTTTTGTACAGTATATTTTTGCATTTTATTTATTGTGTTGTTACACGTGCATTTTGTCAACATACTTGCAGGTTCATATAGGACATGTACCATGCTCATTTCCCAAATGAGGAATTTCTGTTATCAGGACA